CCCTTGAGCAAGATATGGAGGCTGTGTGTACTCTCGTGTTTGCAGCTCCAGTGTACGGCTGTGCGGCCCTCGGGGTCAGAGAGCATCACTGCCGTGGGGGCAGCGCGAAGCAGCAGCCGCAGCACCTGTCAAGTGGTGGTGGTGGTGGTCGAGGTGATGAACGACCACACACACACACACACACACACACACACACACACACACACACACACACACACACACACACACACACACACACACACACACACACACACACACACACACACAAGCCCCCACTTTGTATCCTCACAAAACATCACCATTGTCATCAAAATCATCCATCAGGGCTGGCTGACGAAGCAAGGTGGAGGCACACGTATTCTCTCGCGCAAGAACTGGAAGCGGCGCTGGTTTATTCTGCAAGGAAACCAGCTCACTTACCACAAGAACAACATGTTCATCGTCTCACACCCGCCAACAGAGGTGCGTGTGTGCGTGTGTGTGTGTGTTTGTGTTTGTGTCTGTATGTCAGTATGTCAGTCTGTCTCTTTGGCTGCATAGTTGTCCGTCCGCATACCTGTGTGTGCATGTGCGTGTATGTGTTCCTGTCTGTGTGTCTGCACACCTGCTTGTGTACATCTACTGCGTTACTTTGCACAAGTCCGTGTGACATTCCTGACATCACCCGCTCCCGAAACATTCACCTCCCCCGCCTCTCCTTATGACTACCAACACAGGTCCGCCAGCACGCGACCGGCTCCATCAACCTTGCCGACGCGACTGCCATTGAGCCGTGGGAGGGCAAGCCGTTTGGGTTTGTCATCATCACTCCACAGCGCACCTACTACATCTACGCAGCCAGCAAGGAGGAGACAGCAATCTGGCTGCGCAAGCTGCGCAAGGCAAAGGTGCGGTGTCACGGACAGTTCTGTGTGCTGTGAAATTGTGGGGTTGTATTGTGAGCGTGGTGACAGGCAGTGTTATGCGTATTGTTTTGAGTGTCTGCGTGCGTCTACGTGCACCGCAACGCTTCTTGCATCAACCTCTGCTGAAGCTTATCCCTCTCCTAATTGCTCTTCCTCCTCCTCCTCCTCCTCCTCCTCCCCACCACCACCACCAACACCACCACCTGTGCCATGTCATTTCTCCTTCTGCACTAACAGGAGCAGGCCCAGAGCGCAGCGCAGCGGTCTGGATCGCAGGTCCGCTTGTCCGATTCCGATCTTGCGTCACGCACATCGCGCGGGCGGCCGAGTCTCCACGCGTCGTCATCCTCCTCCGACCGCCGCTCGCACTCCCGCGACAACCACCAACGGCAGCAGCAGCAGCAGCAGCACCAGAGGGAGCGCGGCGAGTATGATGAGCGCAGCCGCAGCCGCGATGGTCATCGTCGTGCCGAGAGCAGTGGACGTTCGCCAGTGCCGCGCCCGGAGTCAACAGAGACAGGGCAGCAGCTGTACGGTGGATATGGCGGGTATGCGGGCGCACGTGGGCGGAGGTCGCTTGAGCCAGGTGCACCGGCATCAGACAACAAGGTCGTGCGGCCTGTGCGACATGGCGGGAAGGGCGGGTCAGTTGATCTGCAACGCCGCAAGCTCTCGGATAAGGCCGCCTTCATCAAGAGCAGCATGGTGTGATGATGGTGGTGGCGGTGATGGTTATGCGATGGTGGCGATGTGGTAATGGTTGTGATGGCAATATGTGATGGTGATGGTGGTGTACATGCGCGAACAGTTTTGTTTTCGCCCTGTGTGCAGAGCAATATGTGCTGGTCTTCTTTGTCTTTCATTGACTGCTCTCTTCTTCGGTGATCCGTGAAGTGGTGGTTTGCCGTGTATGTGCGAGCGCGTGCACTGTTGTAGCACCATCACCCGTGTGCCTTGGTTTTGCTTCCCTGCTTTGTTTGCTTGTTACTTCTTTGTGCACGTGTATTTGTGCTTCTGTGTCGACTCATGCATGGCTGCTGACTTGGCTGGCTGTGCTGTTTTGTACTCTTGCTTGCATTCTCATATTGACTTTGGTGGTGCATCGGAGAGGGGGAGGGGGCTAGCAGAGAAAGTAAAACCTTTGCAATGTGTATGTATGGCTAGACGAGATAAGCAGAGGGGGTGGTGGGTGGTGTGGTGTTTAAGGGAGGTGGGGGGGGGGGCTTTCGCAGAGCAAGCGGAGGAAAGGACGATCATCGGTTAACAAGTGACAAGAGCCTGAAGCGTGGGTCACACTGGAGAGAAGGTGAAATCGTCGTCGTCGCTTGGATACCACAGGGTGTTGTCCGAGGACGGCTCATCACTTGGCACCACATTCAAGGGCACCTGATCCTGTGAGTGCGTGTGTGATGGACGGGAGAGGTGGAGGGTGCGGGGAGATGTGCGTGATGCCGGTTGTGGGGAATGCGTGTGGGGAATGTGTGCGTTGTGACAGCAGTGACAGGCGTCTCCAAGGTTGTACACACACACACATATAGAGTCAGACACACACACATAGAGTCAGACACACACACATAGAGTCAGACACACACACA